TTTTGAGGGAGTGTTAAGGGTTTGTGCATTTCGGGTTTAGTGTTCAGGGCTTCGGGCTTCTGATGTTGAGGGTTGTGTTTTGGGGTTGTTAGGGCCGAGATTGGCTTTCAAGTTCTGCAGGGCTTAGTTGAGGTTTCAGGGCTTGGGCGTCTTCTCAGCTAGCGGTGAGGATGAAGATGCATGGGCTCAGGAAAGTGAAGCAGATAAGCGCGGAGATGCTGGGTAACCCTCAACCCAAGCCACAACCGAATTATTTAAGGTTCTGACAGCCAAGGTTCCATGGCTCGAGGGGCCTTACACGCTAGTTAGTAAGACCGAAGTAAAGTGCCATCAGCTGGCCCCACCACAGTCCTGCCCAAGCTCCTTGCGAAGGGTGGCTTTGAGCCGGCCCTCAACCGAGAATCATCAGCATCAGCCGGCCCTTTGCCGCTCCGAGCAGGCCAAGAAACAAAGCATCGCCGGCATCAGCCGGCCGTTCCCCGCGCTGAGCACGCCAAGATACAAAAACTCATCAGCTTCAGCCGGCCCTTTGCCGCGCTGAGCAGGCCAAGAAACAAAGCATCAGCAGCATCAGCCAACCATTCCCCGCGCTGAGCAGGCCAAGAAACAAAGCATCATCAGCATCAGCCGGCCCTCAACCGAGCATCGTCATCATCAGCCGGCCCTTTGCCGCGCTGAGCAGGCCGAAGCAAAGCATCACCAACATCAGCCGGCCATTTGGCGCGCTGAGCAGGCCAAGAAACAAAGCATCATCAGCATAAGCCGGCCCTTTGCCGCGCGGAGCAAGCCAAGAAACAGTGCATCACCAGCATCACCCGGCCATTCCCTGCGCTGAGCAGGCCAAGAAACAAAGCATCATCAGCATCAGCCGGCCCTTTGCCGCGCCGAGCAGGCCAAGAAACAAAGCATCGCCAGCATCAGCCGACCGTTCCCCGCGCTGGGCAGGCCAAGAGACACAGCATCGTCAGCATCAGCCGGCCCTCAACCGAGCATCGTCATCATCAGCCGGCCCTTTGCCGCGCTGAGCAGGCCGAAGCAAAGCATCACCAACATCAGCCGGCCATTTGGCGCGCTGAGCAGGCCAAGAAACAAAGCATCATCAGCATAAGCCGGCCCTTTGCCGCGCGGAGCAAGCCAAGAAACAGTGCATCACCAGCATCACCCGGCCATTCCCTGCGCTGAGCAGGCCAAGAAACAAAGCATCATCAGCATCAGCCGGCCCTCAAACCGAGCATCATCAGCATCAGCCGGCCCTTTGCCGCGCCGAGCAGGCCAAGAAACAAAGCATCGCCAGCATCAGCCGACCGTTCCCCGCGCTGGGCAGGCCAAGAGACACAGCATCGTCAGCATCAGCCGGCCCTCAAACTGAGCATCATCAGCATCAGCCGGCCCTTTGCCGCGCTGAGCAGGCCAAGAAGCAAAGCATCATCAGCATCAGCCGGCCCTCAACCGAGCATCATCAGCATCAGCCGGCCCTTTGCCGCGCTGAGCAGGCCAAGAAACAAAGCATCATCAGCATCAGCCGGCCATTCCCCGTGCTGAGCAGGCCAAGAGACACAGCATCACCAGCATCAGCCTGCCCTTTTCCGGGCTGAGCATCATCAGCATCAGTCGGCCTTTGGCCGCGCTGGGCAGATTCTCATACGGGTGCACTTGAAGTCGTGATCTTCAGCAGTGCTTGGGTTCTACACATCATGTCACTTTGGACAGCGAAGTGCCGAGCCGCAGGACATGGCCGCCGAGCCCGCAGCCTCGCGGGAGAAAGAACGAATGCCCGGTTCCCAGCCGCATCGGGCACATTCGGGCACGTCGGGGTCAGAAAGGTCCCCAGAGATTTGTCGAAGTATGCCTGTTGCTATGTGAGATTTTTCGTGGCTGTTTGTAGGGAGGTCCTGGATGGGGACCCTATGTATTACCTTTCTGGGTTGCAACGGCGGACATAAAGTACCTACTCTACGCTGCTCGGCCTTGTTTTGGGCCCTCGTTTGTGTCATCGGATTCTCCACCCCATGGGTTAGATGGGTTAGCTTCCTGCTGCTACATCATAACATCACACGACCCGTAGACCAGTCTCGCAAGCGCTGTGTAGAGACTCTAAAAGAAACTCCACCGGGAACTCTAGGGCGGCATAAGCCACAAGAACCTTTAGGTAACCAGAGTCTCAGCTATAGGGCTTAGGCTTTAGGGTTTAGGGCTTACATGTGAATCCTGAACCCTTTTGGGGTTCAGGGGTCCCTCCCCCCAGAACCCAGATGCCTTCCCAGGCTGGCAGAACAAAAGTCTGCCAAGGAGACGCCAAGCGCGAGGGCCAAGAGCCTGCCGCAAACGCCTGGATTTGGTGTTTTTTGGGAAGGTTCCGATGGTCGGGGTTATGGGGGTACCTCTCTGGGTCCCTGTTCCGACCGCCACTTGCATTTCGAGCACCCCCAAGAAAGCGCGCAGGTGGAGTTTGGGTTTTTGGTTGGAGGACAAGGGGGTTGGGGGTTTGTGGTGTTTGGGGTGCTTGGCGGGGTTTCAGGCTTAAAAGCAGAATAGGTTAGTTCTATGTGTATGTATATGGTTGTGCGCTTAAACCCCCGAAACTCAAAACGCTAATCCCTAAAATCCTGACTCCTCAAACCCCACACCCTATAACCACGCCACGGGCCCGCAGGGGCGCAATCATATGTGCGTATATATATATATATATATTTCATGTCCCTGTGGCTCCTGATTTCAAACAGAAGCCGTGTATAGTTTAGTTGGGGCACTTGGAGATTCATGGGTACCGAAGTAGGGTTTATTGGTAGCGCAGTCTACGTATATCCCCAAGCAGGGCATGCAAGCGGCCACAAATACGTCCCTGATGCCCAAGGCGGGTCCGAGTACGAGATAACCCTGGACAAGACCGCCGGCAAGAAGCCACTCCTCCCGTGCTTGGTTGGTGTTGAGGATCTAGGAGCTGCGTTGGTTAAGGGCTCAGGGTGGAACGGAAGTGTAGGGTGTAGAGACAATACTAAACCCTCGCCAGATGCCAGGTTGGGTATCGATGTGGATCACAAGGATGGAAAGACGCTGCTCATCGAGTGCAGGGGGCCTCGGGGGGGGGCATAGAAATCCTAAAGAGAAGCAGAGTTGTGGCCATGCTGCTTCGCCTGCACCTGCAGAGCAGAAGCACATGCTCAGCCACATGCTCCCTTGCTGAGGAGAGCTGGTTCATTCTGGTTCCAAAAAGCACCGCTTAGTGGCTTTGTGTTCATGGCTTCGAGGTGCCCGGGGATTCAACTTCATTGAATGTGCTTCGACTTGCTCTCGGGCCAAGGCATCAATGAAGGTCTGGTGAAGGTATCTCGGTCGCAGAGCTGCTTTTGCTCCGGGTTACCTTGGGAGGTTACCAAAGGGTCTTACAAGGAGCTTTATGCTAACCAATGCTCAAAGGAGTAGGTTTGGGTTCTGAAGGCTAGGACTTGCAGGGCTTGTGTTTTGCTTTGGCTTCGTGTCAGCCGCAACGTAGTGGCGGTGGTGACCGTCCCTATACCGGATCTGTAGCGTTCAGACCTGCGTGCAGAGTGAACAAACAATACCCTCAGACTCAGACCTGAAGCCCCTAGTGCCTGCACACCTGCAGCCCCAAACCCTTGCCAAACCCTCACTGAACTTTTTGACCCCATGATTCCTACACCCCAAGCTAAGCCCTTCATGCACATCAGAACCTTCGCAGGACTGGAATGACCAGGCGCCCTCCGAGAAGAAGGCTACCGGGGCTCATCTGCAAACTTCAGCTTCAAATCGGCCATTCTTTTGTCCCACGTTCCACTTACAGAAAAGGCAAGCGGACCTGAGTTGCCTTTGGGGGAGGCTAAGGTTGCTGAATGTCGAGTTCGAACACTCCCAATCCCCAAAAACATCCCAAAACAAATCAGGGTTTGGAGCTCTCTCTCTCTCTCTCTCTCTCTGGAAGCGCAGGTGCAAATCGATGACCGCATAACAGAGGCGGGCCGGGAGCTGCACCGACCTCTGGCCAGGGAGGTCTCCTGACTGGAGTTCTCCCAGCGTGCATCGCCCTTCCCTTTGGTGCTCGATTGACCCCTTCATTTGTCGACCGTATCCCACCAGATGTAGAGCTGGTCTCCGGAAGCCTCAATGACTCAATGACAGCTGAGATCAAGCTTCTTGCAACGTCTGATCGAAGCTTTAGGGCCACTTCCCTGCCTGCAGGCCTAGGGGGATAGGAGGGACGTGCTCTATTCATGCAAGGCCCTGCTCGAAGATCATTCCGTCAAGCACATGCGCAGCAAATACACAGCAAGCCCACATGCCCGCAGCACCAAAGGACATCACTGTCAAGGCAGAAGAGGCAAGAAGAGGCAAGAAGAGGGCTTTTCCGTTGAATTGGAGTGCTGACTTGCGAAGCGAGCGCGCGGCGATGGATGACCCTCCACCGGCCGAGGCCAGGAGCCCCAGCAGTGGTGGGGTGTTTTTCAGCAGGAGGTTCCCTCAAGAAGCACCGCTCTCCTCATGAAGTATCTTACTTGACGTACGGCAGCCGGGCTGCATGTATGACAAGTGGCACGACAAAGCGGGCCAGCAGTGTGGACGCATGAGTGTCGTGCCTTTTTCCAAGCCTTGAATGCCCAACGAACCCCAAACCTTAGACCCACTTGCACCCTGAGTTTACGCCCAAACAAGCCCCCTTCCGAAGCCAAAACGCACAACCAAAATCCCACACCTTAAGCCTGAACCTTTTATCCCAAGCCCAAACAAACCCTAAACGAGGTGTGGACGCTGGTTGCTGCGGCCGGTGGCCGTGGCCCGGAGCTGTCTGCTGCAGCACATCGCGCGGGACTGCGTGCCGAGGAGGGCTCGAGTTTGGGGGTTTCAAGGGTCCTATGCCCAAAGGTCTGGGCCCTAGATCCTTGACGCTAGACTCGAGACCATTGAAGGACCCCGAATGTCAAGTTGTAGCGCCGAATCCTGTCCAACCTTCTTTTGGACCCCCAACGAAGGCTCTCTGTGAGCGCCGAAAAACTCTGCACAAACCCGCTGAACCCTCTAGGAAACCCTCTAACAACTCCTTCAAAACCTCCTGCTCCTCTGAGAGGCCGTCCCTCCCGACGAGGCCGCCCTCGGCAGCATCGAGCGCCCCGCCGGCTCTGCATTCTTAAGCGGGTTCCCCCAGGGTGACGGGCGACGGTTGTGCTTAGTGGTGCCTTAGTGGTTTGCTGGGTTAATAAGTTTTGGGTTTTGGGATGTTTTGGACCTTTTGCTGTTTGCTAAGAACTTCTGTGCGCTTGACAGAAAGACTCGCGCCTGAGTCGTGTACTCCTTCAGGCCTTAAAGTACAGGCACACCCCCGAAACCATCGGATCAGCAGCTACAGGTCACGAGGACCTGAGGCATTCCACAATTTACACAGGAAACCCCGAACCCCGAACCACTGCCAAGACGCCCCAAGACGCCGCACCCTCGCACACAGTCGATTGCCGGGCCGGCTTGCAGTGGTCCTGGCGCAGTCACCCGAGAAGACCCTTCTGCAAGCACTCCGCAGAGGCTCGCGAAGTCTCGAAGCCTCGGAAGCATACTGATAGGGATACGAATAAGGATACTAATGATTACTAATGCTGGTTCTTCTACACGTTCTTAGACTCATGCCAATCCCCAATCCTCATACTAATACAACTACTGTACCAGCACCAGTCATAACCAGAAGAATAAGACCCCCAAGCCAAAGCCTAAAGCCAAGCTCATCACTGGGGACATCTCAAGATTGTCAGGGCATCTCTTGACGTCTAGTGGTTCAATCAAGATGGCGACCTCTTGTATCTCTTGTGCTGTGTAGAGGACTCGTGCTGGACTTTTAGAGGTTTAGGGCCTCAAGGTCTTTTATCCCTCCAGAGTTTTGGAAGTGAAGGAGTTGTGGATTGCCAGAGCCAGGGCGCGTGCGGAACAGGCTCGAGCCGTGGTCACGTTTTGGACGAAATCGCTCTCTGGCCTAGGCGCGAGCTCCCCGACACGTGGTTTTCATCGCAAGTCGAGTTTTTTGGCCTCGGTGATAATGTGGCAGGCACGTTTCCTGCGTTTGAGCCCATTGTATGGGTTCGCTTCGTGCGTCCAGTTCAAGGCCATCAAGAGCACAACTGCCATCGCCTTTGGCGGAGTTTCAGCCAGACCGAGGTGCATCTGGGTTGGATGAGACTGGACGTCGGAATCGTGGACGTAGAAGATAGCAAAGGCACACCACCCTTGAACGAAATGACAGTTCACCCGACGCGCCTGGCAAGGCTGCTGGCACCACTGCTTCACTTTGGAATATACTCATCCTCGTAAATGCTCTTAAGGAGTAGTCATGGAGTGCTGTTGGAGTCGTTGGCATAGTTTTCAAGGGAATGTTCAGAGCATTGCGGTTTTCAGACCATAAAATGCATTTCAGCTCCGAAAGCTCTCGCTTTCTTGGGAGGTCACGCGCATGTCTTCACCATCGCCGTTGACGAGGTCTGGGCTAGCAGAAGCAGTAGCAGTAGCAGTAGGAATATAGCAGTCAGAGTAGGAGTAGGAGTAGGAGGAGCAGGAGCAGCAGGAGCAGCCGGAGGAGCCGGAGGAGCCGGAGGAGCAGGAGGAGCAGGAGGAGGAGCAGCAGCAGCAGCACCAGCACGATGAACTTTTTTCTTGCGCAAAGATTTCGAACGTGGAGAAAGGCCTTTGCGCGGTGTCCAGCTTCCCGACTCGCAGCCTTCGATGCGGGAGCTCGCATGGCGGGGCCGGGATTTAGGGCCTGCAAGGGAAAGCTTGGTCGCCTCAGCTTGGGTTTTGATTTATCCGTTCAAGTTTTCAATCACGTCATGGATTGAGGCACTGGATGTGGATGTCGTGGTCAAGGGCCTTGGGTTTGCCAAGATGTTTTTGCGGCGGGTTTGCCTGTGCCAAAAGAGGGGAAAGGTTAATTTCGACGCAGGTCACATCTTCGGTCGCAGCTGTGGAGGAAGCATTGGCCAAGGCACGTACCTGTGAGGTCTAGAGTCTAGAATCTCGGTCGTGCAAGCAAACGTGGCCACCTCGTACGCGCTATGCTGAATACCCAAACCCAAATCGCTCCAATCCCGGTGCATCTCCTTCCACCCAATTGGATTGAGGAAGATTTTCAGGGCTTTAGCAGTTTTTGATTTAGGAACTAAGCCCAGAACCCACCTCATGCCTGCGGCAGGTGTCCGTCATCTTCAACAGCTGCGGGCCATTTGTTTGCTCGGTCTGCGGGTTAGGGCGACTGTCCGCCGCTAAGCAGGAATGCGCTTCAGGGTTCAGGTTAAGGGCAGGCATGAGAGGCTTGAGGAATGACGGTCCACCCCTGTACTTCTGAAGGTTCTCTAAATAAATAAACAAGGCTACATATGTATATATATATATATATATACATTTCTTTTTTTTAAACGTATAGTTATGTTTATATTTACATTGAAATTTATATTTATATTTATATAGAGATATGCATGCGCCCGTATTCCTAGGGGGCTTCTCGTCATGTAGAGACCCCAAACCCAGCGGTACAACTTTAGAGGGTCAAGGTAGACTCACGTGATAGAAGCTCAGAGCTCACAAGTTAAGTGTTGAGAGGTTTTCTGGTTCAGAAAGTTTTTTGGTGCGGTGCCAGGTCTGCTGGAGTTCTGCTGGGCTCTGGGTACAGCAATACAGCTTCAGCTCCAAAAGAGGGATCAAGACGCTCGAAGCCCGAAACTTTAGGAAGACCCCTGGTTTTCGGCGAGCCAAAAGTGCGGGACATGATCGCCTCAACTTCAGGAGAATGCCCTTCATCTACACATGCACTTCCACCATGCCGTGGATACGATACCCGAGGACAGCAACTCGGTCAGTGGTGGGAAGCGTTGCCCCAAAGATTCTGACCATAGCGGACATAGCGGACATAGCGGACACAGCTGCACTCTCCTGCTTAATCGGAGATTCTGAAGGATCCGTGCCCGATTTGCGCAGAACGGCCACGAAACTTGGCAGTACATCTGCATCAGAACCATGGCCCGTCGGGGCCTCGGATGCCCGGAATCGAGCGCGATCCATGGACACTTCGTGTCACTTTGCCGGAAGTGGACATGTCAATCTCATGTCAATCTCTGTCAATATCTGTCAATGTCGTCCGTTTCTCCGTTTCTCAGTCCTCGAGTCACATCCACGAACATCCTCGAAGCACAGAGTTCTGGGGATGCGGAGTTGTCTGCTTTGTTTTGTCAGTGCTTTGTCAGTTTCTGCTCAGGCCAGCCGAAAGGGAGCCGCCACCAGCACCGTATGCAACCTTCGTGTCTCGGCGGGGGTCGGCGAGATTCCAGTGAAGCTCGCACAAAACGATCGGAGGTGATTCCGAGAGGAGAACATATGAAGTGGGTTGAAGTGGTAACAGCTTTACACAGTTCATTTGCGCGTGGCCTTCGCAATCGTGCTTCATAATGATGGCCGCTTCCTGAGGCATGGTGCGTTTGCCGTCGACTAGATGGACGGTTCCTGCTTCCCAACAGCAAAAAAGCGGGGCCACGAAGAGCATGTGCGCTTAAAAGTGAACCCTTCATCCAAACACTCAACCGCTTGTGTCCAAACCGCGAAAGCGCTTCTACAGGCTCGTGAACGAGCCGGCCGGAATTGCAGGCGCCAAAGGTTGAGAGCTTGTTTTTTTTTTTGTTTTGTGTGTGTGTGTGTGTCTGTCTGTCTGTCTGTCTGTCGGTCTGTCTGTCTGTCTGGCTGGCTGTCTGGCTATCTGGCTGTCTGTCTGTCTCTCTGTCTGGCTGTCTGTCTGTCTCTGTGTATGTGTGTGGGGGGGGGGGGGGGCACCCGGTCGTGCTTGCAGTCTGTTGTCGGTTCTCAGCGAGGGGATGCGGCTCTCTGATGCTACCGTGCCCAATGAAGCTCAAACTGTGAATCCTCAGCCCTGACCAAGGCGGCCGGCCCAACTTCTGGCTGCCCGCGGGTCGTGTCGACCGCGGCGAATCGCTTCAGGAGGTGGTCATCTCGGAGTTTAGGTTTTCGCCTTAGAGCTTGCAGGGTTAAGGAACAGGGTGGTCACGGACAGTCCCACCCCAAAAACGACCATCATTTTACGGAGCTGGGCAGATCATCTTGAACAGTATGAACGAAAGACTACGGTGAGAGTCCCTAAGTCCTAGCAATTGGGATCCGAGGCTTAGGGTTGCAAGAGTTGGGTGCTTAAGAGTTCTTCTGCCTTTTGAGGTCTCAGAGTGCTCGGGATGTCCCCAATCAGGCAGGCTCTCAACCTGCACACTGAAAGATACTGAAAGCACTTCTAGAGCCCCTGACTCTAGGCATCTTTTCAACATCCTTGAAACGCGTCTTTTTTTGACTTTGGGGGCCCCTGAGTCCCAAGACCTTGCATGCCCCGCAACAGCAGAGAAGTCCCAGTTGTCAACTTTAAGATGCATGTAAGCCAAATCTGCTTGAAGTTCCTGTCAAGCTGCGTTACATAGATGAATGCAGGAAGCTCCGGGCAGTTTTGAAGTTGCTTACAAAATTGCAGTGGTGCGCAAGGAGTAGAACGAAGCGCATCTGAACAAGATTCAGCAGTCCATGTCGGGCTCTCGCTGAGGAAGCATTGCTGAATCTCGTCAGATTCAGTTAGAACTCATCTCCCAGCAGCATCCAGAGCGTTTCTTACCTAATGCAACCAAAAACCAGGAAACATCTTTGCGCACACAACATTTAAGTCGATGCTGTTCAAATGTATTTGTGACATCTAAGGAACGCTTAGTCAGAGTTGACTGATGCTCGGTGCGAGCGATACTTAGCTATGAGCATGATGAGCAGTCTGCAACTGCCTTGGAAGCTAGAGCAGGCCTGCCGCCGCGAGGCCCTAGAAGAAGCTGGAGTGCCAGTCAAAGTCACAGGCGGGCCTGCAATGTACAGGAAGTTAAAAATAGTTAGGATTCATTATGCCGAAGGCAGGCATGCAGGGTTTGTGAGGGATGCCTGCAGGGCCATGCGCAGCCCCGAAAACCACGTGAGCCTGACCGCCCCTCCACCCCATCCCTATGTAAAACGGAGAAAAGTGTTGGTTCTCGGATGCGCCAGGCCTTCTCCGTCTCATGGTCGACAGCCACCAGACCCTGCGCGCGGTCTTTCTCGCAGAGCCCGAGGATGGCGAGGGTTTCCAAGGGTCTGCGGGGAATGGATCGGGGTTCCTGGCATCTTCCCTGGTGCGGAGCGCACGTGTAGTGAGAGGCCGGCGCAGTCTGCCCGTCATCTCCAGGACGACGCTCATGCCGAGCCAAAGAGTGTCCCCGACTGGGTTTCTCGGCAAACCCCGACGGCCACCGATCTCTCACCCCCTGAACCCTAAACTCCCCTAAGATCCCCTTAATGCCCTGAAAAACTAAACACCCTAAATTACTAAACCGTAAAAGCCCTAAACATCAATCTTGACAAGTGCCCGACCGGCAACAAAGGAAAGCGTTGGCGCCATGTGGGCGGAGGTGCCTCGGCAGCACGACGCCAGGGAGCTACCATTAGGGGTTTAGGGGTTTAGGGGTTTAGGGGTTTAGGGTTTAGGGTTTTAGGGTTTTAGGGTTTTAGGGTTTAGGAGTAAATTGGGGTGTAGGGTTGATAGAAGCTTTAGGCTTCGGGGTTTAAAGGTCATGGGCAGTTTGACTCTGGTCCCTTGTTGGATCCTGATTGCAGTCGCAACCTCGAAGAGGACCGTAATGTGGAGGATATAAGGGCGTAGGGTTTCGGGGTGGATATAGCAGCGAGTGGCAACATCAGTAAGGCGAAGGAGAGAAACTGTCTGAGTAGCCGGAGCCGTCGTATATCGTACGAGAATATCCAGAGGTACCCTGTGTTCTCTTTCAGTTTCTAAGTTCCTTCCCAAAATTAAACCAAGTTTTGATTACTCGATTGGCCGCCTCACAACGAGAGTGGGGTTCCCACGGTTTGGGATGGAAGGGTACTGCGTCAACCCCAAACCGCACACCAGAAAAACCCAAAACCGCCAGAAAAAATCCATGTCACACCAAAAGAAGCGATATCTCAGGTTGAAGAGGTCCAGAACCTTAAGGCAGGAGGGTCGTGGCGTGGGGTGCGGTGGGCGTTGAGGTTTTTGGGTCCTGGCCCGTTTTTCGCGTGTGTGAACTGCTTAAGCCGCTAAAGCTGTTTGAGGTCGATTTTTCCAGCCTTTAAGGCCCTTGTAGGACCTTTTGAACCCGTTTGGTCCTCTCAGGGGCCTTTTGCAGCATATTGTGGCCCGCTTGAAGTGTTTTAAGGGTTTTGGGGTGGCAAAATTCTGTGCTGGTGCCCCCGGAACCTTAAAGAATCTTAAAGAGGTCTCACTTGTCCAAGGCCAAAGCATGCAGGGCTCAAAGTTTGAGATCAGGCGTTTTTGGTTTACAGGGTGGCGGGGGGGAGGAGACATCGTTAGCAGCATTCCTCCTTGAGGAGTCCGACTTCCGCCATCCAGATCCCCAGGACGGACACTGCAGTTCTCAGACAAAATCGAACCTTCAACAGCCAGACTAAAGTGGGCAGTGTAGGATGCATAGGTGTGTGGGGCTTGTCGTAGTTCTAGCCACGTTGCTACCCATTCTGGTCCGAAACTACACGGCCCCCTCACAGGCCCAGACCACTGGTGATGCCCAATGAAGAGCCTCCGGCTCATGCCGCCGACCTCGCAGGCAGACAATAAGACGCCAGCTCGCGATGTTGGCCATGCTCACAAGCAAAAACGGCGGGGCCAGAAGCTGACGCACGGCCAGGGCAGTCAAGGCAGGAGCAGATGTCCGAAACGAAGGCCCTTGCAGAGTGCAGCAGGAGAGGCTGTCCGAGGGTCCGGAAGGGGTTGCAAGCAGGGTTGAGGGGGGGGGGGTGAAAGGAAAATTCTAGGGAGGTTCCGGGGATGTCCCAGGGGCCCTCCAGAGAGGTTTCAGGGCGTTCCAAACTTCCCCGAAAGCCAAGCTTTGAACATTCTAGGAATGCCCGCCCAGCTCCCATGGTCCTTGAGTTCGCGCGGCGCGGATTGCGGATACTCCTCACAAAAGCTGCCGCAGTACCCCGCCCCTCCCTCTTTTGTTTACACCCAACCCCTAAGCCCCTTAACTGCCTCAGCCTAAGCCCTGAAGTTCACTGAGCCGACAGGATTTGTACCCCAAAGTGGCGTCTGGCCATCTGAAGCCGGAGCCTGCACCCTGCCAGCAACCCTAGCCCCATGCACTTGCAGCTTGGGCTGGGAGGGGTCAGATGTGCATCACTCGGAACTCAGAACACGCGAAGTTCTCTTGAGGTGCTGCGAATAGGACCCTTAACTCCAATTCGGACCCTGCTTGCTTGAATTCCCTCAGATGCAAAGGCCAGTGTGTGTGTTCGAGCCCAAACAAGTTGTTCAACCCTTACATGCCCTCAGTGTCCTTACCCCGAGGCCCATGGGGGTCCAGCAGCCTCATTTGTTCCGAAAGATAATGTGAACTCGGTCTCAAGGTTGACACCAAAGAGTTCCTGGCCTTGGAGGTGGGTACGGGCTTCTGAGAAAGGGCCGGTAGCCAGCCCTTGTTCTCTCAAAAGCCGTGGAACCCCCCAAGTACTTCTCCGATACCCTAGAGACCAGGCTTTGTGGCACGTTGCAAAACAATGTCCCAGCACACTCTAGACCTTGCAAGGGCCCTGATCGTAATCTCCAACCAAACAAAATTAGAATACTCTTCCAGATCTCTTTGCCGGCTCTGACTTCTATTGGTTTGTCTGCAGGCACTCATTCGGCGGCTTACGGCCGGCGACGCGCGAGCTGAAAGGGAGCTGGCGAGCGTATGGAGGAGAGAGGGTAGGAATCGGGGGCGCTAGGTCGTTTGATTTCGGGGTTCCGTGTTTCGAAAACCCAAACCGTCAAAGCACCGACGGCTTTTGGGGATCTCGCCGGCCCCTCCCTGCGCAGGAGCGTGCAAGCTGCGTATCCTCCGGCTGTGTTCCAACGAGGTTGAAGGAAACGCACATGGCTGAGGAGCCGAGCCTGGCGCACACTTGTACAACTTGCTTGAGAGCCTCGGAGTTGCAGCTCAGCTCCTTACCAGCATTCATGAACTTATCGAGCCACCAAAGGGCACACAGGCATGGCATGGCTTCGGCTCACAAAACTCTTGCAGATAGGCACGGACATGCTGCAAGGCAGCAGATCGAGCTAAAGCTAAGGCTCACCAAGGTCGCATCCTCCGATATGCCGGCCGCTTGGCACTGAGAAAGCGGACTGTGCCAAATCTTTGAAAGGGTCGCCGGACCTGAGCCCACACAGATGGTGTAGAAGGGTTGAGGTTGGGATGTTCCCCCTTATACGAACAGTCCCTAATAGGGATTCTAGTATCTCCTATTGTAATCCCGATTAAGGACTGTCAGTATAAGGGGGGAACATCCCAAAGTTTAGGTTTGAGGGTTAGGAGTTAACCCTGACGGGGAATGAGGGTAGCTACTGGCATTCGAGGGAAGAACAGGGTTCTTGGGAAATGCTTCGAAGAATATAGGCAGAACCACATTCTGTCGCTGCATTGTACGTGCCGAACGTGGAATGCACAGATCATCCTAAACCCTATAAACTTGAGCCTGAGCCCTAAACGCATTGCTTAGGGCGAAGTGGTGCAGTTCTTTTCGGATGGCAGATCTGCAAGCTGACGGAGGTCGCCCAGGAGGGGTTTTAAAAGATAGGCTTGCATGGAGGCTTGGGCCGCCGTGTAATGTAATGAGACACGGTCATGGTCAGAGGGACATGGGCAGAGGTGTCGTAATGTCGTTTGAGGCTCAGGGGCTTCCTAAATGTAGGTTCTTATCGGCAAGGAATTCGAGACCATGACCTTACACTTAGGCTTAGGTTACTTGTAGCCCGAGTTATAACTACCCATGTCAAGAAAGGCCTCCACCCCTCCCACCACCACCAAGCACACAAGAGCACGCTTCAGGCAGGGAGTGCCGCAACGAAGCAGCGTGATCTGAGGCATATATAGCTGGGACCACAGTCTGCAATCCACAGTTTAGACATGGTGGTCGCAAACATGTCACTCTTCAACGCACCTCGGGCCACACGGGTCATATAGTAAAGATGTAGATCTCCACAATCTCAGACAACCGTGGTCCCAGGAGCACAAAAGCACATCGCCAACCTCTCTGCGCACAGCAGCGTGCTAGCCGGGCAGCATCCACGGCTGTCTCCCCGCGAGCTTGAGGAGAAAAGGATGCTTCGACTGAGTTCATGCAGCGTGAATGTGGCAGTAGACTCCAGACTTCAGCTGCATGGGCCGAACTTTGTTCCGGCTGGAAAACGTGTACAAACACCCTCAACCCCCGAAGGCACGCCACTTGTTGCCAGTTGCATGGAGCACGTTGCAGGTGAATGGCCTCCGTGAGGAAGTTGCCCGACTTGTGGAAGAGTGCCAGAAAGACCAGGCGAGGCTGCAGCATCTGCGGGGCCGTCTTCGGACTTGGGAACTTAGGAAGTTTTGGGTGCAGAGGGGCTCAACCGGCAAACCTGCTGACATGGCTGCGGCTGCAGTAGTAGAAATCTTTGCTTTCACTGCAGTACCAAGACACTGAGCCATCCAACCTTCAAAATGACGATGCCCACTCGACCCGGACGTCGTCAAAAGCCGAAGCAGTGTCTCGAACCAGCTGCTAGGAATCTGCTAGGGACCTGCTCCCGCAAAGGTGCTGAAGGTTAAGATTCTGCGTGCATAGCATCTCTGCCCTTGGCTCAGCAAGTTCTGGGAGCCGATACGAAACAGGTGTTAGTGGCAGTTGATCTGGCTCCTCTGCGACCCCTGCAACCTGCAGATTTGCTCGAGCGAGGCTAATGTGGATGAGTGGGAGGCAAGCGAACACCATCCACGAATCAGGCAGCGCTGCCTCTGCGAACGATCGAAAGGCTGTACCAAATAAATGAAAGCTCCATAGCCTTGGCATTTCCGCCTTCGAGTTTCAGCCCCCTGCCGCCCCCTGCCACAAAGTCAGTGCGTCAGTTGTCCGATACATGTGGGAGTAGGAGCTTAGGGATTAGGGTTTCAGGGGCTTGCCGCAAACATCAGACGCGAAAGAGCCTGTAGCAGATTTTAGCAAAGTCGATTCTTGCAAAATAGTTATGGCCTTCCATGACCTTGAGTCCAACAACCACCCCAAACTCCCTAGTTGCCGCAAAGTCCGCAACCTCTTGACTGCGCAAGTTTGTCTTAAGGGCAACTTGGGGGTAGTGGGGGGGCGGGGAGAGGTATTCTAGACTGTTTGGGAGCAACATGGGGTGTGTGTCTGTGTGTGTGTGTGTGTGTGTTATAGTGTGTTGGTGTGGAAGTTAGTTCGTTAGTTGGCCATTAGTTAGTTAGCCTTGTTTTGTGTGTGTGTGTGTGTGTGTAAGTGTAAGTTTGTGTGTGTGTGGTTTTCGGGTGTCGGTGCGGGTGTAGGGGTGGGTGAGTGGGTGGGGGCCTGGCGGGTGGGGTTCGGGCCAATGTGCGAATGGAAACCTTTGAGGAGACGGCACGATCCTTCCGCGTGATTCCAAGTCTCACGTCTAAGGCCACTGCTGTTGACCAAAGACCAAAGAGTCGCCACACGGGCAGTTCTCCAAAGTTATGGTCCTTGGGGCTCTGCAATACGGAGCCTTAGATTAAGGGCCTTTAGAGTACCCGGCCCCCCCCCCCCCGCCCAAAAGGGACCATCATTTTGAAAACTGCCCGCATGTTTTCTTGGTTGGCACACGGGCAGTGTGCGCACAAGCGCCTCTTTCGAAACGCAACATGCCTCAATAGACATGGCCTCCTCAAGGTGTCTGACCGATTCATGCGTTGTTGTTCTTGCTCTTGCTTTGGGATCTATTGAGTTGTAAGTTTAGGAGGAGGATCCATGGAAAACCCTTGAAAGGGAACTTGATGGAACTTGGATTTCCAGAAGTACGAGGTTCCGCATAATAACAGGCACCCAACAAGGTGCCATACTTTACAGACCTGATCGCAGCCATCAGTTGAATTTCCAGATCGTGGTGTTGATCCCGTGTGCCAAGCATTTGCCAGAGCATTTCCCCACAAAAGTTGCCACTCGGCCAAGATGGTCTGCAACTTCTGGCACTTACTGAAGGGAAGCAGAAGACCATGGGCTTGCTTGAGGCACCAGAGTTAGAGCATCGGCTCTCATCTTCTACCAATAGAAGCCTACCTCGAGGGGTCGTTCTGCGCCTGGAGGCCTCAGGCCCCAAGCACAAGGCGAGCCCCCAACGAGGAACTTGCAACCACCTCACGAGAGTTGACAGGGTTTGGTCTTGTTGGTGTTTGTGGGGATTTGCAATTGGGGTTCAGGCGTCTGGAATCTGGAAACTTGAGCTTTGAGCTTTGGAATTGCGATTAGGGCCATAATCAAGTGGCTAATATATCAAAGCTTCCCTTCGCAGCTCACAAGATGCAAAATGGGCGGCGTTCTGCAATGGCCAGCAAAGGCATTCAGGATGAAAGCAGCTATGGATTTGTTGGGTTGAGGGTTGAATTAGTGATAATTAGTGTCTTAGGGTTATGGGGGTTTCTTGCATTTGTAGTCGCATCATTTGCCATACGCTTGCTGCGGAACGTCACTTTAGGATGACGCCATGAGTGACAACCAGCTTGGTGTGCGGATAGCTGGCGCCCAGCCCTGCGCTAGAGAAATCTTCATTTTGCTTGGCTGCGAGAACCGCACACCCGCAATACCATGGAGTCTGTACCATGTTGTCAGAGCGCTGCAGAGACTGTGGAATCACACCTCTGTGGCTCTCTTGGATGCGACAGAGGAGCTTCATGGCCAAGGCAGAAAACGAGGTACGAGCTCCGGCAAACCATATGCAAACTTTGCAGCCTCGAAGCCACGAAAGTGCTGACCAGCCATCCATTGCCTCGTTCATCTAGAGGACTTGAGCTGGAATCTCGAGGACACCTCACATGTTGGGCCCGGAATGTGGCTTGAGGGGTTCCCAATGCGCATTCAGGGCTTTTTGGACCAGGAAGAACCCCCGACCTCGAGTCCTCTGAGTCCTCTGTCATGGGAAGCAAAGGTGTAAGGAACACGCGCTCGGATGAGGAACTTTGTTCGAGCGTAGAGAACTTCGAGGAGCCTGAAACCTCAGCCTTGGGCTCTTTGTGGCCGAGTTCCCAGAACGCAAAGCCCAAAAACCCCAAACCCCTAAAGCTTCTGTGTTCCTGGGCTCTGAGGGTTCAGGGGCCTTTCTAGAGGATTCGCGGGGATTCTGGCCGGAGAGACGAGGCTTGCACGGGCTCCAAGACCTAGCTCGATGAAGACAACGCCCCCCCTCACGTGTCTAGCCTGGGTTGCGGTCGAAGGTCCCATTTGTCATGGCTTAAGGTATCTTTGGGCTTTAGGGTTAGGGTTCGGGTTTGGGGTGCCCCTAGACAGCAAAGTTTACAACATCACTGGTTCAGCCGAACCCCCACGCCAAGCCCCAAATTGTATTCACAAGCCTCAGTGCAAGAACACCCAGAACAACAACTCATGCTCGCGACTCCGAATGTCGCGGATGGCTTCCCCGCAGCCCTGTCAAGAAAACTGCAGCCCGCCGCGGAACCCAAGGGGATTCATAGTTGGGGCAAAGGCTTGTGACTTTGCGTGGTATTTTACGGTATTGTATGTTCCGCTGGAGGTTCACGGCTTCAGGTTTGCGCCTTTTTGGGGATGAAGTGGGGATGTTGGCTGCGGGGGTCCTTCCGATCTTGGCTGAGCGCCAGAAGCATCCAATACAGGCAATTTGTCACGCAGAGATCTACAACACGACATCCCACCATTTGCCCGTGATCATGCCACTTCCACGAGGTGCAGCGTGTGCACACTCCGCAGGAACGCAGGCCGGATGAGTTAAGGCTTCAGGGATGGAGGCTCAGAGTTTCTGGCATGCTGTGGCAGTTGCTTTCTCATGGCAGCAGGCAAACCCACACTGACTGGAGACATAAGTTGATGACACAAGTGTTTGGGA